GCTCATCAACAGTTCAACGCCGCCGACGTCGCGCGGCTTTTCGCTGGCGTTCACTTGGCGCACCACGTTGTCCATCCATTGCATCAGCGTCCTCACAAGGTTGAAGAACTTGAACAGATCGCCAGTATCAGCCAGTTTTCCTCTGCGCTGCTCGCAAACCATTTGCAAACTGGCCCATGCAGACACGAGTTCTTGTTTTCTATTTGTGATCTCTTTAGCTCGGTCGCCCGCATAGCTGGCTCGAAGCTTGACCGATTTCTCTTGGATCTGTTGCACTTGGTTCTGAAGCGTCTGTAGGTCTTGCATGAAGTTCTGATGTTTGCGCTGCAGCGTTGAAACAGGACCTGCATCTCGGCCCAATTCATGAGAAGAGGCCACCACTCGATGAGCTATCCACTGCTCCAAGTCGCCAACGACTCTGTTGAGCAGGAAGAGCTGCAAGGCCTCATCCAGCTTAGCGCATCGTTCTTGCGCCAAATCCTTCAATCCGGCATATAGCTTGTCCAGTTGCGACTGTTTAACAGCGACTTGCTCGGCCAAAGGATGTCCTTCACCCGACAGGGCCTTTACAGTTTCACCCAGTCCTCTGATGGTGTCCGCATAAGCTTTAATGGCCGCTTGCAGAGTTTCGTGCTTCTTCATGAAGTTCCTGATGCTGGTCTCATCTTCGCCCCGATCTGCCACCATCATGTAGAGCTCCTGCTCGCTCATCCAGCTCTCGGCTTCATTGGCATCGAACAGATACTGCTGGGCCCGTTCGTTCCTCAGGAAGTTGGCTCGTCTGTTACCGATAGCTTCCTTCAACTCCTGCCACGCCTTGTGTAGCTCATTGACCAGCCGGCTGAACTCTGTCGCATCTTCGTGGGCCTCATCGATCAACTTCTGCCCGTTGTAGCACACGGTGTTAACGCGCGGCTCGTGGTTCTCCACTTCAGTTTGCTGCGATTGCTTGTTCTGCTGCAACATGTTAACCTGAGACAGCTTGTTGTCGTATTCCGTGGAAGTTGCCAAGGACATTTTTCCGGCTATCCATAGAAGCTCGTCCTCGATATCCCGTCGGAACTGGCGGGCTTCCATCTTCTTCCCCAGCAGTCGCTGTCTTCCGATGAGGGGCTGCTTGATGAGCTGGAAGCGCTCCTCCACTTTGCCCCTTTTCACCTTGATTTCGTTGATGTCCTTGTCGGGTGCGGCCGTTTCCAGATGTTTAGTTTGCTTGTCCAGCTCATCGACTTGGCGCGCCTTGACGGCCGTTTGCGTTTCGATCATTTGCCGCTTTTGCATCAAAATATTCTCAGGGGCCAAATCCGACCCCGTGTAGTCGCTTTTGATTTGTTTCTCGAGATCGTTCATCCATGAGTCGATGTCGTCGCAGGTCTGGTGAATCAGTACTTCGCGATTAGCGTCAAACAGTCGTTCACCCTWCTCCTTGGTGGTTTGTTCCAGAACATCGAACTGATCGGGAAGTTCCTCAATCTTGGGCGAGATTGAGGTTGCAAATTCCGGCTCCTCCTTGGCGAGTTCCCAGTTGAGATGCTCGACGTGCAGCAACCGTCTGGAGAGTTGATTAACTACAGCCACTCTAGGCGCGTTCGAGTTCATCTCTTTTCTCAACGCGTCTTCAGGTCTTTTCTTAGCGTTGTCGTCCATTTTACTCAGCCTCTCTTTGTATTTGTCATTCATTTTGTCCATTTTTTCGTCCATTTTCCTACTGTTGTCGCTCATTTCGTCCATCATTTTCCTACTGTTTTCGCTCATTTCGTCCATCATTTTCCTACTGTTGTCTTCCATTTTGTCATTCATTCTGCTCGTTTCGTCTTTCATCTGCATGAGCAGTGCAATAAAACTGGGGTTTTCCTTTGCAGGGTCTTCTTTCTTTGATTGACTTGTTGTTTCCATCAAAATTCAACTTGTATTCTAGTAAATCCCACTTCTGACACCAAATGTTCCGTAGATGGCCGAGTATCAAACTCTTTCTTCAGCTTCCAACTTTTATTCAACTCGGGATCACTTTAACTACGGAACAGGAACAAACTAACTTCAATATTACCGTCAACTTCACAAACAATAACAATAACAGGCGGAAAACTCGCTCTTCCGACTCGCGGGGTTTAACCTCTTCTGCACCCGGTCGTTGCTGTCACTTCGCCCCCTCCCTCTGGTTCTCGTCGCCGCTTATATAGTTTCCTCCAGATAACCCAGATGGTTCTCGAAATCTCCAGAACAGGTGCGAAACTTCCCGCTTGTCTGTGTCATATTTGACAGCAAATGGGGCGCAAATGGGGCTCCCATTTACTGAAATTCCACGAATTTTGATCCCTCCATTTCAAACGTGAGTACCCCAGGCCATTTTCGTTACAATATCTAAAAAAAATCATAAAAAATACATGCAGTCAGGAAAATAAATCAGAATAAATTGACAGCAAAATCAGAAGCTGGAACTGGACATACCGATATAATTCTACTTTTTCAAGTATAGTGCACCCTTTTGCGGAAACTGAGAAAGTTTAACGTAAAATTTCATAGAATTGCGGATTTCTTAAATGTGTTCTAAGTTCTAATCTCAGACCAGTAAAAAATTAATGCGACTTTCTTTACTCAAACAGTTGCACGGAAATTGCAGTCAATTTTTCACAGATTGCACGTCTGTGAAGCAACTCCACATTTTTTCGTTGGATAAAATATTGTAATAAAAACGGACTGTCCTATGAACTAAAACTTGAATATTACCGATACTCCGGAAATGTTACCTTGAAACTTTTTGAAATTGCACCTACTCGCGTAGAGAGCTGGAGGCTGGTAAATAAAATCTAAACTTTCAAAATGGGAATCAACATCGGAGAATGGTAATATGATTGCAGCAGTTTTGAACTTGATGCGGGCATAAGACTGAAATGCTAAATAAACACTGTGAAAGACAGCTAACAGAGAGTTTTTAGTTTTGTCGAATTAGCTCAAACTACGCGGCTGTAATTATTGAAAATCAAATCGGTTTGGGCGGTTTACCAGGAACTAAAGAAGTTTTAATTGCTTGTTCAGTTCAAATGAGACTGATACCTGAATATTTCAGCCTCCTTAAAACGCTGCTAAAGAAAAACAAACTGAAACGAGACATATTTCAGAGTCGAAGTTTCAAATATCCGAATTAGTGGAGAATTAGTGTGCAATTTTTTTCCAAAAATTATTTTATTCGATGAATCGATGACAACAAAAGCGTCCACATTGATGGATGGCTCAACTTGTACGATTTATTTCCATGATCTGAATATGTAATCTCTGCATTCATCAGCTGCCGTTCGATATTTCCTAATGAAAAGATTTTTCTATTTCGGTTTTGGTCGTAGCATTTGCCATTGTAGCATTTAACAGAAAACGTCGACAACAAGAAATGATAGATTGCTTTTTGAGAGGCAATGGAAAATGGAGAAAAATCGGTTGATACGATGGCCAATATAACAGAAGCTGGTTGAGGTTCAAGCACAAAAGAAAATCCACTATCGCAAAAATCTGAAAACACTCTCATACCTATTTGGCCTGCGTTCGTATTTTCGCTGTTCTGGCTTAATTAAGTTTGCAACTGATCCCAGAAGAATGTTAAACATCAGATGTACATCTCTGGTTCTGTTTCTGAAAATAACCGTCAATGTTGCTTCACGCTTTTGACTACAGCTAAACATTTTTTTTTTATGTTTTAATTTATCTTGTCGTATCTGGGTCACTCGCAAATAAAAAAGAATTATGGGATAATGAAATGTTTTTCATTGTCAACAGCCCTGTGCTTTTCGTTCGGGCCCGCATTGTACAACTCAGTTATAACGGCCCTTAATAAAATATAAAATTCTACCCAAAATGCGTAAAGGGGCGAATCCTGTTTAGAATCGATTCCCTGAAATTTCCTTAGTGAAAATACAGGCTGTGTTGACTCAACAATTTGTCCTTCTCAAACTTCAATTTCCATCATTTTATCTATGTTTGCTTTATCCAATGTAGAGTATGGGCAAAATCTTTTCTTCAAGCAAACTGTTTTGAAGAAACCCCACTACTTTGTCTTTAACCATCAACGTCTGCATAATTCCAGTTGTGTTGTGTGGCTTTATATCTATTCAGTGAAACCAGGATATTTACTCAAAGATTTCGGTTGTTTGATGTTTATTTGGAAATATTAGTGTGCGACTGTTGCGCCTCACTTCGTTTTAATGAACGTTTGCTTTATTTTCGATTAAATGCGGAAGTTTGTTGTAAGCGACTCATTTATATTGAGGCAAATTGCTGTATATTCTCAATTTGCCAGAAGTTGGAGGAATATCATTCCATCAAGACAATGAATCGGTCGGAAAGTAGTCAATTTTCAACAGGGCATATTAAGACTGTAGCAGGACTCTGTTCATCTGAAAACTTAAAGAGAATATACAGGGTGGTTTTTTAGTGCGATAGAGTCCATTATTTTCGATGGTTCTGAACTTTCGAAAAATAGTTTCATACAAAAGTTGTTGACGCACAAAGTGCGAACATTTTAAAAATATCTTATGTGATACAGAGTGTCTCAGAAAAGCGAGGCAAGATCAAAGTATATTTATTTAAATAGAACTACTCATTTTTCATTAGCTTATGGAATGCAGCTTGAAACGCTGCGTATGTACCGTAAATTGTTTTTTTTTCTTGCTTGTGACGTTCGCAGATTATCGCCATTTTAGTAAAATTTTGCTTAAAAACATGGTATCTAAAAATTAATCCTTGAAGCAAATAAAAGCAGTTATAGGTAGACAATTTACAAAGTTACAAATTTGCATTTACACTTTAAGTTGTGAAATCAACTGTTGTCAAAGTGTAATTTATTTAATTTAAAAATTTCAAAAAGTTGCTACATTTTGTAATGTGGATATGGAAGTGAATAAATAAGTGTCAAAATTTGAACTGCTACGTTTAGTTGATCATTTACCTAATTATATCAAGGAAATAATGTGATATTTACATGATGGAGCTCCTGTTCACCATACAGCTCAAATTCATGAGTACCTAAATAATTAATTTCCTGAGAGGTGGATACGCAGAGGTGGACTTGTTCAGTGGCCACCTCGTTCACCTGATTTGGCAAAAATGTATTTCTTTTTATGGGCTTACGTCAAAAACGAAATTTGTAAAATAACTCCAACTACAAAAGATGATATGAAGGAACGAATCACAACTGTTTTTCGAAACATTAATAAAATTGTTTTGAACTGCGTTAGCGATACGTTTCAAAAACGTAGATATTAATTGTTGCTTAAATGTTAACGGAAATCATATTGAACATTTATTTTAAAATATCACTGTATATATAATTTTATATTTTTATTTTTATAGACGTATGCAGTTTTATTGCATTTTATTGCAAGGATAAATGGTAAATTCAACAGGAATCGTTGAATGACGGCACCTATTTCGAAATGTCAACCTGTTCTCATAACCTCAAATTCTGCGGGGTTTGCTGTTTACATAAATAATCCATATAACACCAAACATTTGAATGGTTAACTCCAAACAAGCTAATGCCTGTGTAATCTCCTTATTATCCACTCTTATCCAGCAGCTTCTCGTATTCAGTTAATTAACTCGTGCTCCATTTGTATCTCCTTGTGCTGTGTGTATCGTACAAAC